TCCCACTGGGGCGGGGAGTGAGAGAGTGAGTGGCTGCGCAGTGGTTAGCTGCCTGCTGGAGTCAAATCACAACAGCGTGGTAGGGACAGTTAGGAAAAAAATTAAATAAAACCTGCCCTGTCAGCAAAGGCTGTTGGCATTGCCAATTCTGATTTGAAACCATTATGAGAAAATTGTTCTCTTACAGTAGATAATCTTCTTCAGGCATATTTTACAGATCTGGAGATAAAACTGCCAGGAGAAAGAGAGGATTGTTAATTCATGATCAGTTAACTAGCTATTTAGCTAATATTGTCCATTAACTCTTGCCAATTATCTGTTAGAAATTTAAAATCGATATGTTGTCGTAAGAGAGAACACAGCAAGTTAAGTATGATGAAGTTTAATATATTTTTTATTTCATATTTAGATGTACTAAGGAACTATAGAACTAAAGGTCTGGAGAAAGGGACACAGATTGGACACAGCTCTGAGCAACCTGCTCTAGCTGATCATTCAACAAGCAGACGGGTTGGACTAGGCAGTCTCTAGAGGTGATTGCCAAACTCAGCCATTCTGTGATACTGTAAAATGCATACCTATTTCTGGGTATTTTAGAGCTGCTGCTAGTACCTCTGTCAGTTTAGACACAGGTTGTAGCACCTAGTAGTTCTTTCGCCCTCCTTTAGGAATTAGTTAATAGTCAGCAATGACCAAAAAGACAGAAATGAGTCAAGCTGAGATTCTCAGTTTGTACCTTTTTTGAGAAGACTTTCATTCAACCATTCTTTTCATATTCTGACCACTCCAGGGGATATGTATCAAACTAAAAACTCCTAAATAACATTAGAACTGGAATAAACATTTAAGGGGATATACTTTTTAGATGTGTAACCATAACAAAGAGAGAAGGTGTATTATCAATGTCAATAAATGTAAAACAAAGTTAAAAAACTTATATGTTAATTATTTTTTTTTCTATTACACATAATCTTCATAATGCCTCTCTGTTTTATTAGTATATTTTCTGTCAAGACATTTTTCTAGGTTTTAAGCAAAAACTTCAAGTTTCTACCTGAGTAGTGTTTAAGAGTGTTCTAGCATGTACTTCAACTAAATGTCACTCTAAAATACAAGAAAATAATATAAATGTAGTTACAGCCAGAAAATACCTTTGTCCTTGATACAATTAATCTGGTTCTCATTACAATGTGGAAAATAATAAATAAATAAAAATTTGTGGCTCTCCCACAAGTTTGCTGACTGCAAAAGCAGCTGTTCACATGCTTATCATTAAAGATGGATTTAAAAACAAAACAAGAAGTGGAAGTTTTCTTTACCATCTTACTTTTGGCCTCTATTTGGGTTGCTATAAGCGTGTAAAGTAGCAAACTATGAAAACTAGGGTACTAGTTTAAAATTTAAGCAACGGTTTGCTGGTCCTCTAATGAGGATATGTTTCCTCAAAATGATAGGCAGTCTCGTGTCACAAACCCATAAAATTTTCATAATTTTTATTAAACCTTGAAGTAGGACATGTAATAAAGCAGGAACAGATGAGCTTGAAAATAAACTGTTTCAAAATGCTTATTATGAATGTGAGAGAAGCTGAAATATTTTCTGTTAGCTGAGTAACCAAAGCAAGTATAAGGTTAATGAAGAAGCCAAATAGAAGGTGTTATCTGAGAGCAGGACAACAGTTTTCACCTCAGAGTCACTACGAAAAGAATTCTCAAGTATTCATTTCAAGGTTTTTATTTTCTGCCCTCTGGAAGACCAGAATATTATATTGCTAAGTTTTTGTGATGAAGAAAACAAATTAAATGAATAATGTCTGAATATGACATATAATAAAATATAAAAAAGACTAAAGATATATCCTAGGAAACAATTAAAGTAGGTAGATCATGTAATCATACAACTCCTTTAAACTGTAACAGCAGTCCATGTATTTTACTATACTGTATCTCTCTTTAAAAAAAAGTATTCTTCATTTTCTCGTAGCACTATATTCTTTAAAAGTATTTCATGTACAAAATTATGTATGAAGTAGTGCAAGAAGAAGCTGAAGACTTAATTTATTTCCATCCAACTTCCGTATTTTACTTCATTGTCTTTTAGAGGAGAGGAAAACAGAGAGTTTTAATTAGAGATGTGTCTTACTTGTGCAGTTTGGCAAGGATCCAGACCATGTTCCATTGGCGGTGCACTGTCTTACAGATGATCCAGAAAGTATGTATCCTTCCATGCATGAATAAATTACTGAATTAGAGAATGTAGTGCCATCAATACGAAATACTTTTCCATTAGCAGTTGTTCCTGGATTACCACACTGCACAGCTAGAAAGCAAAATGTCAAATATTTTTTAAATGTAGTAAAGATACTTTTTGAAATAGTAATGTCTAAGGACAATCCTGCTATCATCAGTGTTATGTGGTAGAAATCTGTGCTGTTATCTTGAAAAATGTAAGTTTCACCACCTACTGATAAGGTATGTTGTACAGTAAATAGTTGTTTGCATGAATTATTTGGTTTTACTGTTTTGTATGTAGGAAAACATAGCCTACAAATTTGATTTTAAAATCTGTATTAAAGGAAAGCTACTTTAGCTTCAAAGACAAACTCCCAATTGTAAGGAAATGCCTGATCTACAGTTATCACTGTAGATTTAATTTGACTCTACCATATGTATGCATTTATAGCATCACTAAAGTATGTTTCCTATTTAACTCAAAGCACAGGATTGAGTCAAATTACTATTTCATAGGAAGGTGTAACCTTTATGTTTCCCAGTTGTTTAATGCTTAACTTTCAAATATGAATGTCTCTTTCTCATGTGATTACATACATACATCTAAACTATAAGACCTAAACTAGAACAATATACCTGTGTGCACATTACACACATACATATATCTGTGAATCAGATTCATCATTTCAAGAGATTTTAAGGGGAAAAAACGACATCAAGGATATCTTAAAATGTAAAAGGGGTAATTCACTTCTGTAACAGATAAGATCAAAGAAGAGCAGAAAATTCAGGTGGGTTAAGCATGTCCCTTCAGATACCAACATATAAACACATATATATGTATTTATATTGTGTCAGGATGGCAATCATTCAGCAGAAAGGATATTACAAAACCAGCTTGTGAAATAAGTTTTTAAAATGAGATGACTATTTCATAAAGATAACACATTCAACAGTGATAAAATGGATAAGAGTACAGATGCTCAAATTCTTTTCTGCTTTTCAGGGAGCTTTTCTTTGAAGAAGGGTCTGTTGGGAATTATTTCCTATTTTTGAATCAAGATAATTAAGGTAATAAATGATTCTCCATAAATATGCTTTTAAAGGTTTCTCTTACGATAACACAGCTAGCTTGACATTTCTAGCATATTTTTTTCCAAATAAACTTGTTTCAGCATTTCATTTTCTATTGAAAATTAATAATATCAACTGTATTAGTAAATAAATTTTTTAAGCCAGTCATTTATGACATAGATGGAGCTAATGAAATCCTGACATTGACATTTTCCTAAAACTTGTCTCTTTCGTCTTAAATTCAGGTGTATAATGGTTATAATTAAAGATCAGGTGACAGTCAGCTTTTTAAGAGAAAAAAATCTTTCAGCAAAAATTGTGTTCTAAAGCCTTTATTTATTTTTTTTCTGTTTATTTTTTTGTACTGAATAACACATATTGTTAACGTTGTCACAAGATTGAGAAGAAATAAACTGTTCAGCATACTTTTTTTTTTTTTTCTCAAAACTTTGAAAATATGCAGTATCATCAGTTCCAGGAACTGATTTCAAATTTGTCATGTGATGCCAAGTCATTGCTACAGTGTAACAACTTATTTGAAAAAATTTAATGGTCAGTACAAAATCAACAGTATACCGTTCACGGCACAAAACTGGTAATGTAAAATGGGGTTTCTGATAGGCATTTTTAACTAGACATTTTTAAAAACAAATGAATCTTGTGTGATTTACCTTTGCACTCAGGCTGTCTTCCTGTCCAACTTCCATTTGCCATACACGTTCTTTCTTCTGAGCCATGAAGGATATATCCAATATCACAGCTGAAATGTACCGTGCTTTTAATTTTAAAATTGTTTTCTTCTCTGGATCCATGACCTGGGATACCTGGATCACCACAAGAACCAGCTGTATCACCTAGAATCAGGAGTGCAAAGATTAGAATAAGTATGAAATATTATTATAATACTGCATTTAAAATATGTATTAATAATATAT